CAAGACTGGGCTGTATGTCTTCATGGATGTTGAAGTTTGTCCATCAGTGGACACATGGACTAGTTTCAAACTTTAGGTGCAAGTGCGGAGAGGCGACGTATTTGGAGAGGTGAATGCTTTGGGGGTCAGGATGGGCCCTCATCTTTAACTAAATGAGTAGCTGATTAACTGACAAAGTCCACAAGATAATGCTTGGCCTTGCAAAACCTTGTTTGTTCCTCTGAGGAGCTGAAAAATATTTGTTTTGATGAGAGGGTGGCAGGACTACCTCAGGAACACATCACAGGGAGGAGGAAAAGAGGCACAGTTGTATCAAAGAGAAGGTTAGACTCCCTTGGAAGAGATTGACTGTAGGGGTTCCTGCGTTTTACCAAGCTTGGGAGTTCTCCAGCCAGCTCTGGAGGAAGGCCAGAAGGGAGTGAGAGAGACCTCACATATTTTTACTAGCTGAATCTTAGGCATTGTTTTCCTTTGTGTCTTTACCTATGTCTTCAAAAGAATAAACTATCCCCTAAATTCTGAAGGTTGTGATTAAATGTTTCTCTTTTCATGTAACCTGATATAAGGATGATGTGAAAGAAATTGGACAGTGAGCTCACTTCCAGCAAAGTGCTGCCAAATCCATGCTGTCAGGCAGCAGCAAGTGTCCATATACCCTCTCTGTGGCTTTTGCTTGCTGCCTTTCACAATATCAGCTTCCAGGAGGGAGGAATGTCTCTCCCTGACTGCGGTACCTACGATGGCTTTGGCAGCTCCCCGTGTGTGTGTGTGAGCATCCATATCCTGTCATGGCCTTGCTTGACCACAGGAGCCCTCCCTAAGGCAGAAACAGTGAGTTTCCTGGGGAGACAGCCTCAGAAAGACCAAGCCTGGCAGGAACCTCCACTTGTGTCTGGATGCTATGCCTCTGCCTTGCACCAACTCCTGCAAAGGAGACCCATGCTCTAGGAATGTCTGCCCTCTTATTTGGCTCTCCCTGGGGATGTGTGTGGGCCCACATGAGGCTCCAGCCACAATACGAGCAGCTGATGAGTAGATTTTGTTAATGGTGAGGTAAAGGACAAAGCTGTGCTGGCTTTGGTGGAGCGGTGCTCATAGTTTGATCTGAAGAATGTACCTGTATCATATTCCTCTCAGAAGAATCTCTTAGCATATCTGTAATCTGCTAGTGCACCTAGCAGCTGTCATTGGCAAGCTAAGATTGTGGTCTGCTGTGGAATGTATGAAATGATAGTCTTAATAATAAGTAATGGATCCAGGGTAAGAGGTGAGACCCTGTGTAGTAGGTGGGAGAGGATCCCTGCAGCAATCAACAGCCTTCAGAAGTCACAGCCCAGAGCTGATGGAAAGCTGAAAAATGGTACCTAGAGACTGTACAACACCTACTCTGGGATGTTCACAGGGTGGCTGTGAGCATGGTCAGGCTTTATGACTGGGGAAGAATCAGAGACAGAGGAAGAGGGATCAGGGATGACTGAGAAGGAACAAGTTCAGAAAAACAAAGGATAAGAGACAAAAGGGGACAGATGTGTGTGAACAGGGATGGCAAGTGTACTTGTCACAGTTGATTGACTCTTGTGCATGCATGTGCATGTGTGTGCTTTCAGTGATAGCTGTGTGCGCCAGCCCATGGTCAAGAGATCACCTGCCCAACTGGGATCCTGGCACCTGGGATGACACACTGTGTGAAGCATCCCTGGGGATGTGTGTGTGTGTTTGTGGACCAGAAGCTCTGAGTAGGAGCTGCAGCAGGGTTGGGGCTGGTAAGGCAGCCAGGGAGGCTGGGATCCAGGACCAGCTACAGCAGAGACTGCCTAAGGCCACTTGCTGGAGGGAGAGGAACCACAGCCAGGCCGCATGCATGCTCCCATTTGGATGAGCACTCTGTGTGTGCTGGGAATAGAAGCTCAGCCTTGCTGCTGGGTGGATTTGGGGACACAGAGCAGCAGCAGCAGCCTCACATCTGTCAAGCCACCTCTTCAGCAGCCATGAGCACTGGGATTATTAAGTAATTCACTGATTACCTGAATACTGGAGTAGGGATCAGGCTTATCAGTGCTGCTGCAAGGAGGTTGAAAGTCTGGATTAGCATTCCACATAATGTTGACAGTAGAGATATGGACTGAAAAAAAACCCCAGAATATAACTCAATTGGGGTGAATCTAAGGTGGGTGAATATATAAATTTAAATGGAAATAGTACACAGGCACAATATTAAGTGACGGCCCACCTGTCTACAACACATGAATGGGACTCTTAACATGATACACATTTCTGCTTCACACAGAAAAAGTTCCTGAAACTACTGGGTCCAATTTTGGACACAGTATCTCAAAAAGAGGCTATCTTACTTGATTAAAGCCAAGAGGACAGTGGGAGTAGTACAGTAGACTAGAAAACATGAAAAAAATTTGGACAAATTTCTTCTTTAGTCAGAGAAGAAAATTTCAGCTGGAGATGGATGACCTTGAATCCAAAACAGGTTGTGGTACAGGGGTTGTTTACACTTGATGCTCTTGGACAGAAAAGAAGGGCTTGATTGGTGCCAAGAGAGATGTGGAGATCCTGGAACAGGTCCGGCAGAGAGCTGCTGTGTTGGTCAAAGCTCTAGAGTGTCTCTCTCACCAGAAAAGGCTGAGAGAGTTGAGTCTGTTCAGCCTCAAGATGTGAAAACTGAGAGGGGATCTCATCAGTGTCTCTAAGTGTCTGCGGGGAGGGTGCCATGAGGATGGACCGGGCTCTGCTAAGTGACGCCCAGCAGCAGGACAAGAGACAAGGGTCAGAAACTGATGCAGAGGAAGTTCCACCTGAAAAAGGGGAAGAATTTACTGTGCAAGTGACCACACATTGGAACACATTGCCCAGAGAGGCCGTGGAATTTCCCTGGCTGGATATACTCAAGAACTGTCTGGACACAATCCTGTGCCATGTGCTCTGGGATGACCCTTCTTGTGCAGATGACCCACTGTGGTCCCTTCCACCCTTACCTGTTCTGGGATTCTGTAAACTGTGCAGGGAATGGAAGAACCACACAAGCACAGAGGAGGGCAGGGGCCAGGTTGTGGGGCCAGTTCACAGGGCTGGTGGGGTCTCCAGTGCCCCAGCCCTGGTGTTATCAGGCAGGCATCTGCCAGAAGTGGCACACAGCGCTCCTGACAGCCTATTATCCTCTGTGGATACCTTGAGGAGGTCACACTCCCCGGTCTATGCATGCCATTGCTGAGAACATGGGCCAGGGTTTCCTGCCTTCACCGGCAGAAATGTACACAGAGCGCAGCAAGATTAGCCAGGACAGCACCAGACCTCCCAGGCTCTGGGCTCACTGTCAACTGAAAGCCATGCCTCCCTCTAAAACTCTGCCGACCTCATGCTTTGTGGAAACAAAGGGCTATTGAAAGCTGCTTCTAGCAAGAGATGAATGCAGAAAACTGTTTGCTGCCTCCAGACTTAGTATATAGGTCAGGTAAAAAGTACAACGTTACCAACCCTTTGTAAATAAGTAATTAGGGCACTTAATGTAATTGAGCAGCATAATGAATAGTAGCAATAGAAATTAATTGCAAAAGGTTTCTGTCCTTCAGAGAAATGCATAGGTATGCAAAATGCATTTGCTGGTATGTTACTGTGTTTGTGAGTGAGAATAGTTATCAGAGAGACAGAAAGAAATCTTAGGTTTTCCACTCCGTGTCCTGCTGGGGCAGATTTGGTTCCAGCAATGCACTTTACAGTATTTGGTTACCAGAACTATCAAAGGTGGGTGAAATATATACTTTTCAGACTCTGGTCCAAGAGTCTCAGTAGGTGTAGGCTGACAGAGCGCTGCTGAAGGCAGCAGAGGTGTGCCAAATTACGCTCTCTGAATTAGCTAATGCACACTCGGGGGCAAAACATCCTGCTGGGCCCCGCCAGCCTCTGCGAGCTCAGCAGATTTTGTCATCAGTTGGAAAATACCGTGGCAGGTTTTGGCTGTGTCCTGTCCCCAGGTCCCCCTCCATGAGCACCCTGCCTTCCAGTTTGTTCCTGGCTCTGTCCCCTGGCCCAGGAAGGGGTGGCATCTGCCTGACTCAAAAGCTGTTGTTATGAGTCAGTCTGTTAAATCGATCATGAAGTGACTGGGTATCAAAAGGAGAAAACCCCTTGAATTATCTAATGTTAGGGTTTTGGACGCTGTTGCTGGGTATCAGAGGGTTAAATATATCTGAACTTCTGTAGGCTGAATTGAGAAGATATGGTTTCTATCATATAATAAATGTTTATAGAAGTTTCCTAGATGTCGCTCCTGAATTACTGTGAGACTGGAATATTCATGAAGTATAACCCTAAGGGAAGGAGAATATCTGGATATCTAGTCACTGCACCTTTATTTTTAATTAAAACCCACCTTTTTTCTTAATAATACTTCACCTCCTGTGCTTGCAGAAAGTTTAATCCAGCTGCTCTTCAACCGTGCAGCACACTGTTCATGTTTAGCTGTGGTCAGTCCTGGATAAGGATGAATAGGGAGTATGTTCTCAAGAGAGTCCTTCTGGTGGAAAACCAGATAATCCTTCTACCTGCAGACAGGTCATAGCAGGTGTTGCCTCTCAAGCCTGGGCCCAGCCTTTTGCACCTCTGTGATGTGCTCATCAAAGCCACACATACTCCAGAGCCCAAGATGTTGCTTCTGACAAGGATCAATAATACCTCAGGAGAGCTGGCAGTATAGTACACTTGGGACTCTATTTTACGTGCTTATCTTTAATGTAGTTCCCTAGGGTGACTTATGTATTTCCAATTTATTTTATGTATAATCTACTGTGCAAACTACAATTACAGATTTCTGTACTGCCCAACAATGCAGTTGTAAAGCACGACAGTAAATAATATCTGAGTGAGAACATGTATTTTCAGTTCAGATTTGAAAAGAGAGGGGGAGTCAATCCGGCATGTAAATGTGCATGTAAATGTATCTAGTTTTCATAAAGGAAGAATTTTACCGTTTACCAGGGTTTCTCTTTTAGGCTATAGAGGATCCAAACTGCCTGGAGTCCTGGGCTGCAGCCAGTTTGCAAGCAATCAACCCACAACACCATCCATCCAGGGGAAGGAGCAGAAGAGACTTCAGAGGAGGATATAAAAAAGGTACAATGTAGGAGGGGGAAACCTTCCCCTGCTGAGTCTCTCCTTTCTTCAAAGTGCAGTCTCATTCCTGGGAGTGGTCTGCAACAGAGCATTGCTCACCCTGGCCTCTTCGCTCTGGTTTCTAACAGCTTATCAGGTGACTGACTGCAGCAGCTCAAGTTGCAAAGATGGGGGAACACTCAAGCCAGTGTTAGGAGTAGTTATGCATGCACATAAATCATGCATGTGAATCCTGAACCATATATGGAACTGCAAAAGACCAAAGAAAGTAATTTCTGCAGTTCAAATAATGATTATTCCAATTTCAAAAAATATCTAGGTTACCAAAGGTTTATTTGAACCAATCTTGAAAGACAAACAAAATCATATGATGAAATAAAGCTAAGCCTGCTAAATGGAACAGCATTTGGCAAATGGCCTGTTTTATAAAACAAAAGTGTGGATAATTCCTCTCTGATGCATAATATTGGTCTAATAGGAAAGACTCTCTCAATTTAACAAAGAGCTAATTCAAGATATTTGTGAATGCAAGGAGGGTTGTTTCATGGAAGTTTTCAAAGGAATTAGTACTTTTCTCTTTCTTGAACTTTTAGCTGAATGTGGGCTGAAGTATTTCAGGACTAGGTTAAATGTTGTTTAAAATGTGCCTTTTTAAAGCTCTCTATCCCCTAGGTTTTTGCTATTATGTCTTTCTACTTCTAACTAAATGAGAAATCTTTGAACTGCTCTTGTTGTGTGATTTGTTTGTGTGCTTTTATAGGTTAAAACCTTCTACATTCACATTTAGCTGTGGAGGAAATGTATTATTTTCCCTGAAATGAGCTTAGACAAATGCTTTCTGTTCTCTCAAGCCTGGAGTCCCTCAGGTATTTTATGCTTTAAATAATCCCTCTGAATGGATGAAAAATGCCTTGTAACTTCCCAGCCAGCAGGGCGGGTGAGATAGTCTGGTGGGATTTAGGCACAGTAGTTTTCTCTTGACCTGTGCTCTGTTCTTGGATTCCCAAGGACGGGAGAGGATGGTATACTGACACTTTGTAGGAGACCCTGCTGATGCCACGGGGCTTTGAGCTCTGCCACCACGTGTGTTTAGGCATCCTCTTCCTGGTCATCTTCTGCTTTGTTTTTCCTCCTTCACTAAGAGTTTTTCTCCATACACTAAGACACCCCAAAAGACACATGGTGATCCCTCTGATGAGCCCAGCTGCTTTGCAGCCCCCAGAGCTGTGCCGTCCCCGGTGTTCAGAGCGTTTCCCTGCTGCAAGGAGAGCAGGGCCTGCAGGCCTGTCCGGGCCGGCAGCAAAGCGCGCACAGCGCAATGCGCTCAGGGCTTCCGGGGACGGCAGCTCTGCTTACAAGGACCACGTAAATCCCCAGGTTTTCCTATCAGTCTGGCCACAGCTGTGTGTGCCTGCTCTCTCCCTCCCCTCCGGCCTGTGGGATGGAGATGGGGGGAGATGGGGGGATGTGGGGTGGGTGGTGGGGGGCAGCACAGGGAGGCACCCATTAACAACTCGGCTGCTGTGAGGAAAGCTTTGCTTTCCCTGTGCTTTAGCCCACGCAGAGTGATTTGATGCAGAGAGCTGTGCCTCACCTACCTCATGCTTTATTAGGCTCTTTTCCAGCTTGGCTGTGCATGCTTAAACAGACTTTGAACCCCATTACGTGACCTTTCGGGTCCTTGTCTGTCAATTGAGTTGCTTCCCACATGCTGCGTTCCCCATTTACAGCTAGAGCCAGACCTTGGCCTCTCTGTAAAGTATCATGTGAGTGTGACCTGCTGCCATTGTAAATGGAGCTTGGCTGTTCCAGCTATCCCTACTCATATTCCTCCTTTACCGAGAGCGCAGGCAAAGAGAGATGTGTTTACAACTTGTATTTTGTGTTCCTTCCCCAAAATGGCCTAAAACCCAAACCTTGGATTTTTCTCCTCAACTATAGATATACTGATAAAGAGAGGTTATTGTTTGCAAATTGGTCCTACTGTGCTTAATTTGCCTTGCATCAGTGTATAGCACTCTGTCTACATTCAAGGCTGTCTGTGCAGGCTGGCTGGGGCCAAAAAGCTGTAGTGCCTTATGTCCCTCATATCTGTCCCTGGATTAATCAGGTTATAGATATTTGCTCCCATTGTGAAAAGACATCGAAAGAAAAAAGGAACCAGCTAGGACACTGCTAGGGTCCCATCCTCCTCTGCCTGGGTAGCCTTTTTTCACTGTGGCATTCCCTAATGTTTATGTGCTGTGAATCATCCGTGGTTTGTATGCTTTGCATTTCTTAAGGGCTGAAGTTTTTGCTATTAGGTCCTATTATTGCCTTACTGCAATGTGAAGTAACAATAGGATAATTATTTGGTGATGCTTATTTTTCCTATTACAGGTGCTGAGGTTTAACCCCAGTCAGCAGCCAAGCCCCACACAGCTGCTTATTCACTCCCCCACCAGCAGGATCAGGAAGAGAATCAGAAGGCTAAAAGCTTAGAAAACTCATGAGTCTGAAAAAGCAGTTTGATAGGGAAAGCAAACGCTGCGCACAAAAACAAAGCAAAGCAAGGAATTAATTGACTGCTTCCCAAAGGGCAGGGAAGAGTCCAGCCAGCTGCAGGAGACCAGTGCTCCATCACAGTATCAGTGACATGGGAATACAAACACCATCACTTTGAATGTCCTCCCCCTTCCTCCTCCTTCCCCCACCCTATGTGCTGACCATGATGTCAGGTGCTCTGGAAATCCCTTTGGTCAGCTGGGTCACCTGTCCTGGCTGCGTCTCCTCCCGGCCCCTTGGGCACCCCCAGCTCCCTAGCCAGGGTGGAAGTGCAAAAGCAGGAAAGGCCTTGGCTCTGTGTAAGCCCTGCTCAGCAATAACAAAACATCTCTGTGCTATCAACCCCGTATTCAGCACAAATCCAAAACACAGGCCTGCACCAGCCACTTGTGAAGAAAATTACCTCTATGCCAACCACAACCAGCACAGCATGAACACAATCATTCAAAAAAGACCTAAGCAAACAAAGTCTTTTAATGTGAGAAAATTATATAAAAATTGGCATAAATTGTACTGTTTTCAGCGAGTCTGGAAAAGGAATCAAAGTATATTTTAGATATTTATGGGTTTTACCTCTGAAAAGTGAAAGAAACAAGCCCACAATCAAATTTATAGTTTTCTTTTTCTTCACATCTACAAGATGTTAATTGTAAGTGAAAATACTGTTGATTTGAGAACAAGTAGGAATGTTTTTTTGTTCTGATAACTAGTTCATTTGAGATGCACAACAAATGCCAAAAGAAAGCAATTTTTCATAAGGAAAAGTCCTGTTGAAAGATCTGCAGTATTTATTCTTTTGACCATGATCACTCTTCATAACTATGCATGTTACAAGATAAAGTCAAGAACACTTTTGCCTACTGCTCTGACATATATCGATGCTTGCTCACCCCACAAAATGTTTGGTGTGTCAGAAGGACACATCTGTCCCACTCTGGAATCCTCTTAGCATGGTTTACTGTGGAGTAAACAATTTTTCTGTGTGATGAAAGCAGAGAAAAGTGATGTTTGCATTAGTGTGCCATTAATGCCTTGTTTTACACTGCCAGCCCTTTTGGCAGGCACTGCTGCCAGAGCTGAGGACTGGAGCTGCAGCTTTCTGATTTTTGAGGAGCCCTCCTACCCAAAGAAGAAGGCCGAGCCTCTGCCTTGTTTTACATGAGCTGACAAAATTAGCCTGTGTGGTTGAAGAAGCTTCAAGTTTTCCATAAATAAATCACAAGGGAAAAAAAAATCAACAACAACTCTTTTAATGGCAAAGTTAATTGTGACTTGCAAATGAAGAATTGTTTTATAAATTGCTGAAAGTTATATATAAAAAAACAACTTGATTGCATAAACTTCTTTAAAAGCTGGTTTTCTGTTTGGTGCCTGAGGCTGCAAAGACTGAGCTTGGGGGCAAGGCTGAGAGGAGGGAAAGCAGGTGCTGCTATTGACTTGGCTGCTGAGAGAATAGCATTAAACTAGATCACTAATAGCATTGAACTAAATCACTTATCTCTGTTTTGCCTTCCACCTCCTTGGATTTCTGACCTTGGTGGGTGCAGCTTTGCAGCTTTGATATATGTTACAGCATCTCAGCAGAGCCCTGCACATTTTAATTCTTGATCATTAGGTGATCTCAGCATGGCCCCTGGTAAATCACAGACTATTAAGTTGTCTGATGGCCTCCTTTCTCATCCTTCAGATGAAGGAAGGTGCTAGGGAGGCTGAGCCACCTCACACCCCTAAGGCCACATCCCAGCAGCCAAATAAAAAGCATGCAACCCAGGCTTTACTTGGTGCAGAGGTGCTGGGACACTGCTGGTAGCTGGGCTGTGTCCTTCAACAAGGTCACAAGCCACCCCATTTCCTCTTCTGCATGCACTGACCATGACCAACAGCTCTGTGTTTTTCCACAGAGACACAGCTCTCTTTATTTCCCTTCAAGGCGAGGTGCAACTGAGCCCATATGGCTTGTAGGAGCCAACCTTTCCTTGCATCCCACCTGAATTACCCAGTTAGGGTGGTAGGTCCCTGCAAACCCAAAAAACCGCTGAGATGTGGCATTCAGCTCAGTTCATTTGGCAGCCAGAAGCCTGTCCTGCTCACTGCTCAGTGCTGCACGACCAGTACAGCATTTTCAAGCATCTTGTTGAAGATTTTATGTAATTTGGAATATTGATTGAAAACAAATAAGGCTGGCCCGAGACAGAGTCCTGTGAAAAGCCTGCTGGATCTGGCCTCATTATTAAGCATGCTCTAGGATCTACCAGAGCTCCAGTTTGTAATTTGTCTTCGTGAACAATTACTGCAATATTGTTTTGGAATCAAACCATCCATGCCTAGAATTTACTGGTGTTGGAAAATCATTGAATGGTAGAATGGCCTGGGTTGGAACGACATTCATTAAAGGTGGGAACTTTAGCATAAACTGCAACTTGGTCTCAAGGCAAGACTTCTTTCCATGCTCTTAAGGCTCTCAGAAAGACATGTGAATAGAAATATGGCAAGTGGTTGTAGTGGGTCTGCTAAAAGTCACAATGGTCTGCACTGGGAGCCTGCAGATGGTGTGAGAGCAGTGCAGGAAGAGCAGTGTGAGCCCTCCCTGTCTGTCTTATACTTACAGCATAATTAGGATCACATAAATGCCACTGCTGTTAACAACCATGGTGATGACTGTTGTATCAGAAAAGTCCCCCTGCCGTCTGCCTCCCAGGTGTTTGCACTTACATTTCACTTCCCATTAAAATGGTCTGCAGCAAGTGCCGGGGGTGTCAGAGCTGGGTGATGAAATTGAATTAGTTTGAATAACTGAATAAGTTTTAGATCTTGAACTGACAGCTTGTTCATATAGATCTTAAATGCCCAGCAGCAGCAGCATAATTTGCATTACCCAGGCAGGGCTGTTCAGAGCAGGAGGGCAGGGCTGCACACGGCTGGTGCTTGCTCTTAACCTCACTGCCTTCAGGAGCCCTGCCTTGCAGAGAGAGACACAGACTCAAATTGAGTAATTGCAAATAAACCTCTTTCCCTTCTCCTTCTTTCTCTCCTCTTCCCCCCAGGAAGTGTGCAATTCCTTGCAGAAAACAGCATATATTCTGATTCATTCTGATTCTGCCTGATCCTGCACAGCACAGGCAGTTCTGAGGAAGGCAAAGTTTCATAAAGGCCTTTTGTACAGCTCATTCTGAAATCTGGCATCACCCAATGAAATGCAGACTGAGCAAGCAGATTTTGAAGAAATATTTAATAATTTATGTTGTACTTGGCACTTGCATAGCACCTTTCATCCATGGCTCTTAAAAGACTTCAGATGTCAATAGATGATACAAACAGAATAATGTTTTATTATAATAAAGCCATTTTGCATGTTCATGAAGAGGCAGAAATTGCATTCCTAAAACAATGAATTGCTTTATCTATAATCAATAAAAAGACAGTCTGTAAGAAAGTTGGACACAGAAGTAGAAATCTTAAGTTTCCAGCTCTTCCTTGTGAACTTTTTGAGGAAATAGAAAGCTTTAGGGAGAATAATGATTTTATACTTTTACAAAAGTACCTGGTTGACTAGCATTTTTTATCCACAGTTCTTTCAAGGTCTCTCACACATGGTGGATATTTGCCCTCCTGCTCAGTATCCTGCCAGCTGAAGGGGTGTTACTTCTGTATAAAGCAGCAATTTGAAGCCTCTGTGACTAGGTTCACCTGCAAATATTTTTCTTTCATATGTTATCAATAAATGAAAAGTTGTCTGTAAAGCCTTTTTTCCCCAAATGCAAAACAAGTAATGGATGTCCACAAAAATCAGAGACATTGTAACCTCAAGTCTCCCTTGGAGTTTCATTTTTTTAAATAGATTACAG